TCAATTTACATATACATCTCGACATACATATGGATTAGCTCGAAGTAAAATATTCTTTAATTAAATATATATTTGTGAATGATTTTTTATTAATTAGTTGGTGTTTTGGGTGAACTAGTTGCTTTTATTGGTTTTATATCATTATCTATTTCGGTTTTTCTTGAAAGTATCAAACATTTAGTTGATGTGATTTTTGTTATACCGCAACAAGAAAATAATAGTACAGTTTTGCATGCTGCGCATAGTCATCGTAAGATGTTGAATATAAAATATTCTATAAATCTAAAAAACATTCTTTAGAGCATATTCGTAGTCTTATTGAACATCCATATTTTGTTCTTGGTATTGGTTTGTATGCTACTATTTCAAATTGTTTATTAGGTATTATAATACTTTGTAAGTGAAAGATAGAATTCTTTGATACAAGAAAGTAATTCGGAGATTTTTATTATAGATATTGTTATAAAACGTTCAATAAAAATTGAGAAACAATTAAAACAGAGACGATCAAGTTTAAAACAGCCATTACCAAAGAAATTACTATCAAAGTCACGTATGTATAAAACTAATAAGAAGAGTAATGAAAATTGTTTTTGAGCCTAGAATAAATCACGAAATCTAATTTTGTACCACAAGGGAATAGCTATATTATTGTAAGTTAATTAGTTTATTGGATGTGAGTCATAGTATGAAGACAGACGAACAGTAATCAAAGGTAATTTTTAATTATTGAGTTCAAGGTTTGATAACCTTAAAACTAAAAATAAGCTTGACTGACGAATATTGATCACACGATAAGTAGATATGTACGTAACAAGTACATTGAGTGATTGAATCCTTGAGCGTCACTGATGGTTTAATTTTTAATTTAGATATATCAAACATTGAAAGCCTTCTATAGTTAATGTATTTAGCTTTTGTTATCTTACTCTACAGAAGATACTTCATTTGAGTTAGATAATTTATGGTATGTTCTACCTTAATGAAGACTACAAAATTGGTATTTGATATAAGAATATATAATTGATCTGATGTTCTCAAAACATTTCCTATTCTATACTTGAGTTAAAGCTTATATATATGTAAAATACAATACCGAGTGGATTCCATAATACAATTAAGAATATAAATTGATGTTTATATTGAACTATATATTATATTTGAATATCCTGATAATGTCAAGATCAGTTATCGCTAAAAATAGCTATTTCTATCATTGGAGATCTTCTGTTACATTCTAATACTTTCAATGAAGATTTTTGTATTGGAATATGTTGGTCATTCTAAAAATACGAATTAACATTCTCACATAAATTTATGTTACATTTCAAACTTATATTTTTTATTGTAACTTATTCTAGTACTTATTACTGATACATTATCAACTCGTCATTCATATCTTCAAGTGTTAAACATGCTACTTGGTCCAATAGCTATATTAACTTGTGGAATTTTATTGGTCATGTTATCAGACAAACATGATGTTTTAGTTTTATTAAGTCGTCTAGTTGATCCAATTATTTGTTGTTTTCTTTTTCTTTCATATCTTTTTATGATATTTATTCCAAGTATGATCATAATTCTTTTATTTAATTCTGCATATAAATTATATTTTATTTAGTTCGTCATGTAATGCATCTTGTTCTACAAGCTAATCCGTGTAATCTCAAATCTGATGAAGTCGAAAAAATTCTTTGTGATTCTGTTTGTAAACATTTTATTTGATTGATTGGAGAAAAAGGGGCATAATTGTTATTTAGATTTCCGGTATTTTAAGTATACATGAACTTCATATATGGCGTTTAACACCACAAAAAACTTTAGCAACTGTTCATATTGTATTTAATACAAAAGAAGATGTATTAACAAAATATGCAGATATTAATCTTGTCTTTCAAACACTCCATATTGATCATGTTACAATACAACCAGAATTTTCATTGGTTTTATTTGAATTTGAATTTAAATATTAAATATTTTTATTTATTTATTTATTTATTTATTTTAGCCTACAGATGAAACTGAAAAATTTGGTTGTCATTATCAATGTTCAACAACTAATACTGAATGTGAAGCATTACAATGTTGTGAAAATCCTATAATGAATAAAATATCATGAACCATTATCGTCATTGATTCTTAGTTATTAGGACAGTAAAAAAATAAAATAGGAACTTTCATTATTTTTCTGCATTTTTTATATTATCTCTCTTTTTTTATGGTATAATAAATTCTAACCGAAACTAAATATTTCACTATGTATAATAGTAACACAAAATAGCGTTGTACTACAAGTAGTTTTTATTTTGAAGAAACTCATTTACCTTAAATGTTTTGTAGCATTACATGAACTATGAATCATTTAATCATGAGTTTTCTATGTAGCTTAGTAAGTTTGAGTGAAAATAGGATATTAATGGGGTAATACAGTATGGTTAAAAGCTCGTAACCATAGACTATAACAATATTTTTAATATAAACAGATTTATCTTCCGTATCTATAATGTTTTTTTAATTTTTCTGTTCTGTAAAGTTGTTTGTGTTTATGTTTCAATGATATGTGTATCGGATGTACCAGGATAAATGAATCTTTCAGTATTTTAGCGATATTTTCTTCGCTTTTCATCGGATTGTGCTTAACCTTTTTTTTAAATTCTCCATTTCAAGATCTACTAATCTAACTAGTTCATTTAAAATGTAAATCCATAGCACATATACAAGTTTCAAGATAATGAAAAATAACGACCTTCAAAAATTAGTACTATCAAAAGATCAAACGGAAACAGTTAGCAAACTGGGCTTCATATTAAAAAAAATCTAAGTAAAGAAAAAAATTTAATGATAAGGCTGAAATATATGTCTATTGGAATAAAAAATATAGTAAAAAATGTCTATAATTCCTAACGGTATTTAACCAAAAATAACCATATAATTATTACACTTATAATACTTGTTATTATTAATTTATAATATTGTATCAAACTTCTTATTAATGAAAAATTCCATGGATAAACATTTTCATATGTCTTTCGAAGTTCCTCAGTTAACCAGTTTACATCACCCGTAATTTCTAGTGCAATACTGACAGCACGTTCTTGAAAAAGAATTTCTTCATAATATCCATGCTGAACAAATGGATCGTCACTATCCCGATTTAATGTTTCATTTTGAATTAATCTCGATAATTGAACATCAAAATAAATATTTCTTCCAAGAATCTCATGTACAAACTTTTCCATTCCACCATTACGTGGTCCATATAACAATGCACTACTAATATATTCTGATTCATCACAATATGTGCTTACATGAAGTTTATGTTGAAATAAAACATCATAAACAGTGAATGAAAGTTGGTTTGTTTCATTATTAACTGATAAATCATTTATAATCGATTGTAAATAAGAATTAAAACGATAGAACTGATGATTATATTCAAAAACCATAAGAAATCCAGGAAATTTAATATTAAAATGCCATGGAATACTTGCGAAAGAAAAAAATAAACTAGCCGATGATGTGGATGGAAGATTTTCCCATTGATTAGCTTGACCCCAAATCCATAGTGATGGAAATGAATATCCCCAATCTTTTTCTAGATAACCAATACCAGTTACAGATAGTTTTTCATTTTGATTGATTTGAATTGAACCTTGAATATCATATTTCATACTAAGAA